CTAGCCAATTCATGAATGGCCAATAATCCTTGACCACGTTCACCAATCCGCTGGGGCAAGAGCAGATTAATCTTTAATTATTATTATTATTATTATTATTATTATTCTTTATATACCAACTTTGTAACTTTTACAGGAGTACTATTATATTCTCTATGACACTAGGATCCTTATTTTTAAGTATTTCTCAACTTTCTTAATGTCGTAGAATTATAAAGTCCTAAACTTGGTTTTTTATATGATTTTCATTGGTGACTCATTCACTTTTTCCTAATAAAATTTTCCTTCTAATGGTCGATGGAACTTATAGTTTGATTATTGATTACTGAACTGGCAATTCTAATTGAGTACAACCGTTAATGCATTGATATACATTTTTTTCATGGCAAAAATGCTAGTGTAAGGTCTCTTTGTTTTGGGTACTTTCATTTAATGCATTGATATTCAATTTTTATTTGTAAACTCATCAAAAAATTGTTATCACAAATATATAAAATGAATCTGATGCCTAAATTCGCTGGGAAAAAAAAAACTCGAAAATTAACTTTTAAAGAAAAAAGTGTAAACCGCAAACCGCCTGCAACCGCCCGCAACCGCCCGCACATTTGCAAACCCTATTCGCACAAACCGCAAACCGCACTGCGGGCGATTGCGGGTTGACTTTTTCCCAAACCGTATAGATGCGGGCGGGTCAAAATCGAACCGCAAACCGCACAAAACCGATCCGCGAACACCCCTATCCGCTGGGGCAAGGGCAGATTAATTAATTTATTCGGCTGAACATCAATCCTTTGTGCCGAAAAGATAGGCTGCCCCAGCCAATTCATGAATGGCCGATAATCCTTGACCACGTTCACCAATCCGCTGGGGCAAGGGCAGATTAATTAATTAAACTATTAATTTATTCTGCTGAAAAGATAGGCTGGAAGCTAAGCAATTAATTTAGCGCCGAATTAATTTAATAGTTTCATTAAAACTTATTTCATGATTTTACATTTTACTTGGCTGTTAACACGCACATTCAGAAAAGATAGGCTGGAAGCTAAGCAGTTAATTTAGCGCCGAATTAATTTAATAGTTTCGTTAAAACTTATTTCATGATTTTACATTTTACTTGGCTGTTAGCACGCACATTCAATAAGCTGAAAAGCAAAGATAATTTTCATTCATAAATTGAGTACAAATAGAAGTCAATTTACACATGAAAACTACCCTAAAAATTCTAACCAAAATACAGTCAAAATCTAACAAAACCTACATACATTCGGATACCAAAACAAAACAAAAATCACTGAGCCTAGGTTAGTTTTTAGGGTCAGACTCCAGCGGCTCAACGTCTACCTACTCATACGGAATCGGCTGTTCCGATATCATGTTAGTAGCAGCTAAGACTTTGAGCCAGCCGTGCTTGAAGCCCCTATTTTCGAACTTAGGCATTTCCTCAACATAGCTCTCTAAGGCTGCGTCCTTGCCGGCTTGGAAAGCCTTGGATGTCTTGGATTCGGCTTCTTTCTTCGCCTTCTTTAAATCTTCCAAGTCGACCTCCAGCTTGGATATCCTCTCGTTGGCCAATTTGAGCACTTCTTCGCTCGCGTTCGCTCTTCTTTCAGCGACCGATTTCAATTGGTCAAAATTCTTGGCCTTGTTAGCTTTGGCATCGGCTTTCGCTTTTTCTTCCGCCGCTTGGCGAAAGGCCTCTGCTGCATTGTTCTTTTCAACTTCCACTTCAGCTCTCAGAAAATCGATTTGCTCAATTGCGTCATGTTGGCGACGATCAATCTCGGCTATCCTCCCCGCCACCTACAAACCAATGAACCAAAAAGATAGGTGATATACAAAACTTTTTATTTTTTGATGCAGAACCAAGGATTAAGACACATACCAATATTATCGATTGAGCGGCTAGTGCTATGGACAACAGATCAGGCTCTTCCCGAAAGGTCGCCTTGTCAACCAGCAACGAAACTGAGGAGGCCAAGCTCAAAGCCACTGCAGCATCTTTCACAGCTGATGCATCAGAAACAATCGACACGTTCTTTATCCTGGGTTGTATTGTAAACGGCACAACCAAGTCCGATTCTTTTATGCGTGGCCGTTTATCAACCGGGTTTTCCGAGTAAATTTCGGCCTCGGCCAGACGCTTTTCCCCCTGTTGCTCCGACACCTGGCCCTTTGGTTGATCGACAAGAAGCTCAATTTCGGCCGTATCAGCATGAGCCATCTCAACAGAAGCAGGTGGTGTAGACTTAGTCCTAACTTCAGGTGGAGAAGGTGGATGCTGAGATCGTTTAGCTTTGGCTTTCTTGCGTGCAGCCATCCTGTCGGCATTTTTCTTCCTGGCCAACTGAGTAATCGACTCACCAGCCATGTTATCAGGATATGAGCTAGGTAGGTCCCCTAAGTCGGTGAAAATGTCTTCGGAGGAGACGTCCGGTCTCGAAGGCAATGGAGGGTCGAGGCCGGCTTCCTCAAAAGCTGAATTCAGTGCCGCATCAAACTCTAACCTTTCGGAGCTGTCTGAGGGTCGATTCGGCTGCTCAGCAACTTCGGCGACTTGTTCAGCCTCTGGCTCCAAATCTGAAGCTTCAAGACCAATTTGCCTCAGATTCTTGAAGTTCGAAAAAATAAATGCTGTAAGCTGCTGCTCACCCCTCAAAATCGGAATGTTATCTGTAACCGAAAACGTGGAGTAGGTCGGCTCGTATCTTAAAAGTATGTGGGCCGCCCTGCCTTGCTTCTGAAGATTCAAACGTCCAAAGAATTGGAGCGCAGTTTTAATTTCCGCAAGTACGGCGTCGTAGGCTGAAACCAAAACTTTCTTCAAATCGTTTCCTGCATAAACCAAACGGTAAATACATAGAAGGAAAGCCGAATAAATATATAACAATAAAAAATAAAAAATTAGCTATACGGCCACTTGGTTCACCTTTTCGTCTTGGCACGGGATCTAGGCAATCTTCACTCTTGCCAAATTCCCAGTTGTCTCGGACAACGACCATTACATCGTCAACACGTTTGCCAGAGTTGGCAAGCATAGTCACTAAGTGATGATCGGTGTCCTTGGCCCTGAGAAAATAGCGTCTCAGCCGGCCAGTAGATTTGGCTAAGACATAGCAATGCCGAATCGCAGGTATACCAAGATCATTCTTAAGGCGTCGGTTCAACTCTATAATCCCCATTCTGATTCGGAAGAAATTTACGTTAGGCTGGGAAGGGATTAGACCCCAGTAACGAAGGACGACCCTTAAAAATGGGTGAAGGGGAAAATGGACTCCGCTCTCAGCAATTGATAAGAGAGGAAAGATGATTTTACTTTCGTCAGTCCTCTCCAGATCAGTGGTGCTGTCTGCCATGAGTGACAGATGGACGTTGTTGGGGATGGAATAATGGCGTCGAATGCCGGAAATTCGTTCCGGCGAAAGGAGTTCTTTCAAGTGTTTGGTCATCCTAACCAACCTAAGGATTATGCGAAACCAAAAATAAACAAGGAAATGAGATTCGAAATGAAGGAGAAGAGAACTTACAAAAAGTAGAAGAGACAGTGAGAAATAGGAGGAAGTTGTAGAGGCCACAAAATGGAAGTATATCGAGAAGCAAACCAGAAGCTTTGAGTATTCAAAAAACTTACACTCGAAGGGACAATATAGTTTCAAATCGCATTAAATGAAGGAAGCATACGAAGAGACGAAAAGATGTAATGATGCCTGAGAAGCGTGTTCTGACATGCGTTGGAATGAGGTTAACTGCCGTTCCTTCCTTGACTTTTCAAGTTCAAAACCAAACAAGCCGACTAGCTGGCGTTAATAGGATGTTTTGGGGGCAATTGTGGGAGCCGGATATTATGGGGGCAATAAAGCCGAATAAAGGTATAAGGACAGTCACGGACGAAATTTGTACTCGGCTTCATCCTGGATGATCCCAAAGCCGAATATATTAATCGGCCAAGGAACAAGTCAAACTAAGACCGAATACATAAACGTACAATGGATTAAGGGTGGGCCCGATCCTGAGGCCCAAAAGAAAAATATAAATAGAGGAGTATCAGCCAAAAAAAAGTATGTGAAAATAAATAAGTTTAACTTGAATTATAAGCAACCAAGAGAGTATACACTGACTGATCTGTCAGAGTGCTAATTCCGACACCCCTGACTGGAGTGTTCATTCCTTTTCAGGTAACTAACTGAGGATCATGAGCGTCCTACTAAATTTAAAGAGTATTTTCAAACCACTTCTCCACAGATTTTATTGTACATTCAATCAAAGTATAAACATCTTTCAACTAACCTGACCAAATTAGCCACGAAATTAATTACATAATTTTTTTTTAGCCATGCATATCACGTAGTGAAGCCTATCATAAAAGATATTTTACTCAGATTTCGCCACTTATGTTTTACATTTTCTCTATAACTATTTACTAATTTAAAATAAAGTTTATTAATAGGAAAATGTCTTGTAACTCAAATTTTGTGGCTCAAAAGTAGCTCAAATGGCTAAAACGACTTTTTATGTTGTTCTTTACTCAAAACAACGTCGTTTTAACCATTTAAACCACTTTTGAACTTCAAAATTTAAACTATATAACATTGTCGTTATTAACATCACTAAATCCATAAATCACATGCCAACATACATGGTTACAAGCCACAGTGATCTGAACGTCTTGGAAAGTGCTCTGCACAAGCCCATGAGTTGTCTGGTTCTTTTCTCCAATTTCTGTGCATTCACGTATGTATTTGTCTTTTTTGATGTATTTTATAATCATTGGTTATAACTTATAAGGGGCTAAGACGTATGTATTTGTCTTTTTTGATGTAAAGTTATAAGGGGCTAAGACGATAGCAGAGAGAGAGAGAGTCAAAGATAAAAAGAGACAGGTAGTTGGGTATATTAGCATAGCCATGTTCCAACCCCCCCAATCACACATTTCCACACAAAACCCAAAGACAAAATACCAAAATTTGTAGGCAAAAGACATTTCCACACAAAACCCAAAGACAAAATACCAAAATTTGTAGGCAAAAGGCAAAAAACCATATTACTTACTGAGGAATGTAGTCAAAAATTAAACAATATCCATTTGGATTTCCAAAATTTTCTTCTGCAATTCTCACTTTCTTTCTCTCTCTCTCTCTCTCTCTGATATAAAAGAGGCACTGTGTGGAAGCCTCACCCTAAGGGACTCATAGCTTGGAAAACCCAAATGAAACTTTTTCTTCATCTAGGTTAACTTTGGCTCAAAAAGAGATAAAGCTCATCTAGCATGGTATGCAAAGATCGAAGTTGTTAAAAGTTTCTCTATTTTGGGCTAATCTTGTTTCTCTGACATACATATCATTTTTTTATTCCATTGGCTACTATTTTTTTCTTAATTTATTCATATTAAAATCCTAGGTTCTGGAATGCAGGTTGAGTTGAGGGCTGTAAAATGGGTAGTAAATGAGATTTAAGTGGAGCAAATCAATTTCATAGGTTGTTAGTTGTTTGCCTTTCTAGTTAGTTCCTTCTTCTTCTATGTCTCTATATATCTATTTTTTGTGAATGCTTTTTTCGCATTTGATCTATGGTTTGTTTTCATGTGTTGTGTTTCTACATCTTAGGGTTTCTCTTTTAATTTTGATTTTTTTTGTCAACTTTCTGATTCTATTTAATCATGCAATTTTCTTCTGCTTTTCTTTTCTTCCTTGGTGGAAATGCATAGTTCCATTATTTGGATAAAGAATTTGTTGTTTGGTGACAGGGAAAAAGCATATTGGTTTGTTTGGGCTTCTACTATTCATATTGACATTGTCAATAAATTGGTGTAAAATTGCTTATGGAAAGTGACAATCCTACCCATTTAATTTTTATTTTTATGTAATGTGGGTTTTTTATGTGAGGTTGAAGCATCGTCGACTTCATTAAATTAGATCTACCATATGCAGAATGATGTGTTTTGTTCTTTAGTTGTGGGTTAGGCAGCTTCTCTGAATTAAAAAAATGATATGGCTAATGAAATGTTATTATTTTAAGAATGGTTATATGGTATGCCATAACAATCTACAGTCCCTTTGTTTTATGTTTTGCAATCTTTGCTGTAGAAAGGTATCTTAGGCCTCTGAAAAAATTTAAGGTGCTTCTAAATTATGGTTGCAATGAAAGTTTAGCTTGTTACTGAGTAGGAAGCAGATAAGTATCTTATACCTTAATGGAGACGAGACTTTTATTTATCATTCAATATTACAAGAAGAGATTCTTTTTCTGGATTATACATTGGATTATTCAAGTATGGCTAAACTTTTCTAAGGGAGTAGCAAGGGTCAAGAAAAAAACTAGAGGTACAGAAGATGCATTTGGCCATTGTTTGTTCCACACACAATATGCTTTCGTCACTTTAATTTTCATCCTCCCTTCTTTGAAGACAGCATGGTCATCTGAGTGTCGTGCTGTTGAGGTGTTTTTTCATATGGGTATTGTAGTTGGTTTCTTTACACATAATCTGTGAAATATTGTTTCTTTAGGCAATGCTGGTGCATAGGTCTAGGAATTGGTAAAATGTTCCTTGTGTTTTGTCCTAATAGTAGAAGGAGATTAATGTTAAACCTAATTCTTCAAATGCCAAAGCTAAAATGCAAACGAATCTCTTTATTGTAGGTGCCACCTTCCATGTTATGTAGTGCACTACATAAATAATGCCATCATCAAACAGCTGTGAAGAACAGTGATAAATTTTCTAGGACCATTTCCTCAGTGCTGCCTTTCTGAATTCCCAAACGAGCCCTAAGCTCTGTTTTGATTGTTTGTTAATTGGGAAAAAAGAAAGAAAGAAAGAAAAAAGAATGTTTTGTTGGATGAGCATTTGTCATGGTATAAAAGGCCCGCTTTAGTATTCTGAAATTGCAGAGAAGCTACCATTTGGTTTCACAATTTAAGGCCATTTCATTACACAGTTTACTTCATCAATCACTTCTTTGTGAAAAGATGATTTTCTTTTTCCTTTTTCCTCTCTGTCATTCTATCCTTTTAAGTTATTTACATATTGACATTAAAACAATTCATGCAGGTTTGAAGAATTTGAATTTCACTTTTCATTCTTCGAATAGCTAAAGCCAACACTTCCAAGTAGCCGTCGCCATTCTGCTTATCACCTCATCTTTGCCCTCTATTTTCAGCTATTGGAGACATAAATAAAATCCAGATCGATCTTAAGATAGCCAAAATACCAAATCAACGTTTAATATCCATCAACATATTATGAGCCAAAACAATTGACTAGAACTTCCTATATTGATTCATAATGGAGGTTAAAGAGACAGAAAGGATAGTTATAGCTAAACCGGTTCCTTCAAGGCCTTCTTGCTCCACTTTTAGGTCCTTTTCCGAGCTCCTAGCTGGTGCTATTGATTCCTCACCCTCTAATGCATGTTCTGAAGCTGCAGTCAGTGCCATTAGACCAAAAACTGTGAGGTTCAAGCCAATGGTGAACCATCCTCCTATACTTTCTTCCCAGGTAATCGGCCCCCTCCCCTTTTCTTCTGTTTTAGGCCTTCTGATCTCATATTTCAAGGACTTCTTTTTTGGACGTTCTTTTTTATCTTTGTGTTTTCAAACAATTTCAGGCCAAGCTATCTGGATCTGCAGCTTGTTGTCCATCCGAGAAGGTGGATAAGGGTTTGAATTCAAATGGAAAATCCACTGTGGTCTACAAACCGTTGGCAAAGGTTGTATCAAAGACAACATTGTCTCTCTTGGCAAATCTGGTTAGTATTGATCCCTTGCATGTAATTGATTAAATATTGTTATATGATATCAATTGATCTCTCACATATTTCCCGTGCCAAACCAATGTTTGGTGCAATTTCTTTCTACTAAAAGCTGATAATAAGAAAGAAGAAGCTAAAAGTATCTATTTTCCCAATAATCAGCATTTTTTCAACTTGTATAAGCTATTTTTTTGGTCATAAGCTATAAGTAGAAAAAAAGAAGAAAAAGAAGAAGAAGAAGCTATGAGCACCAAACAGGGCCATACTTGAGTTTGCTATATATCTGTCTAAATCTGTGTTCTCAATGTTAAAACATTTGTTCTATTTTTTTGTTTTCTCTAGGGAAACTCGGACATTAGTCATCAACAAGCTCTAGCTCAGGTTGAGGCCCGTGATGAACCTCTAAACCAATTTAAGTACCGTTTCAGATCTGAACTTAACTCGAACCTTCACCAGAATTTTCCATCACAATCAGAAAGAGAGAAGACAATCGAGTCTTCAAAGATGGTGTTGGAGACTCTGGAAAATGATCAAAAATCTTTGCCACTCACTAGTAATGTGGATCGACCTTCTTACGATGGATATAATTGGAGGAAATACGGCCAAAAGCAGGTTAAAGGAAGTGAGTACCCAAGAAGTTACTATAAGTGCACGCACCCAAATTGCCCAGTAAAAAAGAAAGTTGAGAGATCATTAGATGGCCAAATAGCAGAAATTGTGTACAAGGGGGAGCACAACCATTCGAAGCCTCAGCCTCCCAAGCGCAACACATCGGGGGGACAGCAAGGATTCGTATCTGATGGGAGTGCTCAAGAAACAAACAACCCGTCATGGAATAACCAACTCAATGAGAGAAATGAGGGTTTTGAGGGTAGAATAGAAAATCAGAATGAAGTTGGATTAGCAGCCCATAATACAACTTATTCTGGCAAAACACCATTATCTTATGATCCTGTTGGTGCCAGAGCTGTCAATGCTGGTGTTGGAACTCCGGAGAATTCTTGCGGTCTTAGTGGGGATTGTGAGGAGGGAAGCAAGGTGTTGGAGGCAGAGGATGATGAACCGAAAAGTAAGAGAAGGTAAGAGACTGACTAATTTTCAATATGAAGCAGCCATGGATTCACCATTATTTATACTAATTCAAACAAGAATTGATAGAACTCGGTCTTGTGCCTATTTAGGCTGCGTTTGGATCTTGGATTAGTTAATGCTGATTTGTGCTATCTTTCCTACAGGAAAAATGAGAATGAACGGGGCATATCAGGGGAGGTAGTACAAGAGCCACATGTTCCGGTGCAGGGTTCCACAGATACTGAGATTATAGGTGACGGTTTTCGCTGGAGAAAATATGGGCAGAAAGTTGTGAAGGGAAATCCATATCCCAGGTTGGTCTTCTATACTTGTTCCTTTTTGTCCATTGTTGATGTTAAATGATGCCTCCTGATAATTCTCTTGAAAACAACATAATTTCATGATCTAAATAACACAAATTGTTTAGAGGTTCTTGGAATAATTTGAGGCTATAAAATAACCTACCTCCCCTCTTGATTTTTTCATGACATACGAGCATTGAAAATTATTAGCTCTTTATAATCACAAAATAATTAACGAAGTTGGTGCAAAATAGTTGACATACGAGCATTGAAAATTATTAGCTCTTTATAATCACAAAATAATTAACGAAGTTGGTGCAAAATAGTTCTCAAATATTTTGGGCACTTGCAAATGTTGGAATGAACTGAAATGAGGTGAGCGTTATAAATAATTCAATAAATAAAAGTCAAGTATAAGTAATTTGCCCTATTAGGTTTGTAATAGAATTACTACACCACTGCAATGAAAAGGTGAAGTCGGAAAATATTTCTGTTCTTTTTTTTTTTTTTTTGGGGGGGGTATGTTTGGGTAAGTGAGCATTTCTACCAAAAAGAGAATATATACAACGAAGCTCAATACAAAGCCCTTAAGGCTGTGTTTGATTCATGGATTTGGATAGAGATTTGGAAAGGGAAAGGGAAAGGTGTGTAAAATCTAGGTGAAATCTAGTTATACATTTCATTCACATTTGACCTACCTTTTCTCTTTCTTTTTCCAAATCCCTCTCCAAATGCCAATTAAGCACAGCCTAAGGGTCGCACACACGAGGCAAAGCCATTAATTCCAAGAGGCATCAATCGAAAAAACCTCAAAAGACCTAGGTTCTAAAAATGAACTCTCACAACCCGAAAGTAAGTAATCATCCTCTCACAATCCGAAAGGGGGTAAGCTAATTAAGTAATCTTACTGTTTTATTTTTCTTCCCGCTATCCAACGTCAAGTTCTGCATTTTCTCTATTTTTGTTCTTATTAGTTCTTATTATCTCTAGATAATTGAGCACTCTCTCACACCAAAGCTTTAACTGGTAATGCAGAAGTTACTATAGATGCACGAATCTCAAGTGCAATGTCCGCAAGCATGTTGAAAGAGCATTGGATGATCCAACAGCATTTCTCACAACATATGAGGGAAGACATAACCATGGCATGCCTGTCAAGAACACAAATTCAGTGGCATCTGAACCAGATTCACAGGCTGCAACTTCAAAGGACAAACCATGACTGGTTCGGTGGAAGAATGCAATGCCAACTCAAGAATTTATCTGATGAAGAACACCGGAAAGAGTTCAAGAGCATCTGAAACAATGACCAGAGTATTTTCTCACTCCCACTGCGATGGTGGGCTCATCCAGTATATCCTATTTTCTGTAATTTTTAAGTGAAGGATTCTTCATGAAGATAGTGCTTATTTTTATTTATTTATTTATTTTTGTGGATAATTAGAATTGTCTAATGGGAAATTTTGTTGCTTTACCACTTGTTGCTTGTTGTTTAGCTTATGCATATCGTTTTCATCCCTTCTATTTGTTTCCCATTCTATTTAGTATGCTAGGGAGGTTGGAAAAGTTACTGGAAAAGTTGTTAGAAAATGAGGTATTGCCCACATCATACAATAAGTTTGAATTTATACAACACACTTCATTTTCTGACAACTTCTTGGACTATATATATATATATTTTGTTGGTTCCCTAGTTTTTTCTAGTTAGTGGCATCATTTTTGTTCTTTATAGACAAACACACCATTTCTGAGCCTATATATATACATGATGAGAATAAGGTTGTACCTCTTTCATGTTTCCTCTTGCACCCTTTTGTTACATTTACATTATGTTTGAATCTTGAATTTATCAAAGAAAACGTAAATGAAAAAAATTTAACTTCTTTCACTTTATTTTCGTCAATATCTTTTTCATTTTGTTTTTCTTTTTTTTCACGAGTTCATAATCCAAACATAATCTTATAGGTATTTACATTTAAAAAAATTTAAAAATTGAGTTGTTGACCAACCTTTAGCATTTGTATGATTTTAACACTAGTTATGCTCCCCCACATCTTACTTTCGTAGTATTGAAAAATGTTATTTTATAGACATTAAAATCTTGTCTTTAATAAATGTGTGTGTTGATGTCAATTGATATTGGTAGATCTTAAATTAAAAGAATTGATAACCAAAAATATGAATTGAATTTTTGGTTTGGTCATAGTATTGAATTTTGTAGATGAAACCATTATAATAATTAGATATACATGGTTTTTTAGATGGAGATTTTTTTTTTTTTTAAGGTAATCAATAATTCATTGACAAATATATACAAAAAGAAAAAAGAAAGATGTTTTTTACTAACATCTTTTCACTTTCTTCTTATTTCTAGGCCAGCCAAGGAAGTGCAAAAAGAAATTTTAATTATTTTACTTTTTTTTCCTCCCCATTTCCTTGGCAAAACCAATGAGCCAAGAATTCATAAGCTAACATCAATTAATTCCTTTTAGGAGTGTTAGGAGTCAATTAATTCCTATTTCAGTTTTTAAATTTTATTATTGCATAACACGAGAAAAGTTTGTACAAATTATTAATTTATAAAGTATTTTCCAAACTGATAAGTGATCTCCCAAAGGAGCTTGTTTCAAATTTGTTAAGATCAGTAAAATTGTTCAGAATCTAACATGAACCAATACAAGAAGAAAAATGATCTATAGATAGAATTATATATATAAATATCATGTAGAATAATATAACGTGCTTTTGCAATTTTAAGTTGTTACGACCTGTGGCGGGTCTAGGAATTTTGATTAGGGTATTTAAAATTTTAAATTAGAATTTATATAAAATAAATCATATTTGCCTATGGAAGTGTTAAATAAGTTGATTTTTTTTGTTTATTATAAAAATACGCACAATCATAGAGGTGATGCGATTCAAATAAACGAAAAAGCGAATAAGTCGGTTTATAAGTCACTTTCAATAATTCACCTAATTCAAACTTTTCAAATCACAAACAATTTTTTTTAACATACTGATTTTTTTAATATAAAAAATTAAAATTAAAAATAATATATGAATTTTTACATATCAAGAAAAATATTTAGAAAATAAAATGTATAAACTAAATGTAATTTGAGCGTGACTCACTTCATCCCAACTTTGTCTATATACATAAATTTTGGATGAAGGTATTTAAAATTAAAAAAGATTGTGAGTAGGTTGTGGGAGAGTTGTGAACTGGGTGAGTTGGGTATTCAAGAATTGGAGGATGGTATTCAAAATATGTGAATTATTTATTTATTTATATATGACTGAAATTTATGTGAATTTAAGTGTCCAAATTGCGAAAGAGTACTAGTGTTGCCGCCCTAGATGTCTTGCCTTAAAATGAAAAGATTATAAAATGTCATATCATTTTATTTGAATTTCTTTGTATAAAAATTCTTTTAAAATATGTTAATAAAAAAAAAATGATATTGTATAGGTCTATATTTTAATGCTGTGTTTAGTTAAGAGATTTGAGTAGGGATTTGGAGAGAGAAATGAAAAATATAAGTAAAATGTGAATAAAACTTACCTATATTTCACTTTTTTTCTTTTTTTTCTTTCCAAATCTCTTCCTAAATCTCCTAACCAAACACAATACAAGAGAAATTATTTATTAAATTTAGGACACGGCCAAGTGGTGTCATGAAATTGCGGTGCTTGCAAGATTGATACAAAAATAGTATACTATTTAGTGTGTTTAACACCTAAAATAAAGGGATTCTGATCCCATCTAACACTTTCTTTATCAAACAGTTAATTCAAATGCCACACACGTAGTAATAATGATTGACTAACTGTGATACTTGAATAAAAATAAACTTAGATGATGCCGGAATAAATAAATAAAAGGTGTTAGAGAAAATCATCTTTTTAAATATAAAAATTCCTGTCTTTGCATGTACCTATTGCACAATATTCACATACAAAAAATTTATTAAGTACGTGACAAATCTATCAGGACGGAGATATTATAAAATAAAGAAAATGTATAATATTATTTAAATTAATAAATTTATAATTTTTTTAGTAACTGATGTATTATGTAATATTAAAATTTTACAATTTAAAATAAAACTCACTTCAATAATATAATAGGCCTCTCAATACACAAATGTTATAAGAACTTTTAAAAAATTATCAAAAAATTTATATAACATTAACATGAGTATAAATCCCACATAGTCTAGGTTTTACACTCATGTGAGTATTGTATAAAAATTTTGATAATTTTTTTTTTCCTCAAATCTCTAGCATTGCTCCTCTCAATAAGTTTAGATGACGATTATTTCGTATCACAATTTATTTATTTTATTATATAATAATTTTCATCATTCATATTACTTCTTAATACATGCTCATACCATACAAAATAAAAAAATAAAAGATGATGACTTGATTGATGAGACATTATTAAAATGAGATTTTAATAAAAATGTATATGAGTTTATCTTTATTTTTATAGAGACTATTTACGTGACTCGAATTGAGAGATGCTGGTGATGGTGAAACATTCTCAATTCTGAAATGAAGAAGAAGCATGCAGGTACAGTGGGAGGGGAGGGGGTTCACGCAAACATTTAAAGGCCACCATTATTTATACATATGATATGATGATGCTCTCTGATATAACTTTCGAATTTTGGTTATGGATGAAGAAGGAAGATGAAGCTCACACAACATTTAGAGAGATTCAATGAAGAATGGATTCTGGAACACGGCACTGCCCACACAGGCCACTGCTAAGACAGAGAGAGAGTGAGAGAGTGAGAGAGAGAGAGAGGCCATGAAGAAAAGGGTGCTATGGTAAATGGATTCTGTAACATGAAAGTGCCTTTTCAATCCAATTTTCTGGCCATCACTTTAATGCTATCTAAGCCCTTATTTATTTATTTATTTTTATTTTTTGAAGTGTCAATTTGGATATAATGATTTGCTAAGAAATTAAAAAAAAAATCATGAGAAATGAAAAGAAACAAAAGAGAAAGAAAATTCCCCTTTTAAGTTATCTATACACAAAAACCTCTTCTAAATTATTGAAAAATGTGACTTTTAACCTTTTAAACTATAACAGTACATAAATTGACTCCATATATTATTGAGAAATATCATTTTGTTCCTTAAACTATAAAAACGTACAAATTGACTTTTTAAATTATGAAAGTGTACAAATTGATTCCCTAATAGAAATGGTCAAAGTGAAACATGCCAATGGTTTAGGGGGTTCATTTGTATTTTTTATAATTTAAGGGGTCAAATGATACTTCTTAATAGTTTAGAGAGTTTTCATGCAAATAACTCTTAGGTTGTGTTTGGTTGGAGGATTTGATGAGAGAAATGAAAAGAAAAAAAATAAATACAATCTCATTTTTTGTTTGATTTTAATGAAAAATACAAGAAAAAGAAAAGTAATAGAGAAATACAATACCCCCTTTTGTTTTTTTGGTTCATTTAGCCTCTTTTCTTTCTCTATTTCCAACTTAACTAAGCACTTGTTTGACATAGTAAATTTTGGAGATATTTTAATCACAAAAAGATAAAATAAGCTAAAAAATTAGTTATCCAAATCATGATCATTTTATTTTTTCTCTCACAAAAATCAAAAAAGTCAAAAAACCTATCTCAAATAAGGCTTTTTAGCTAGGCTAAAATAGTTAAAAAATCAAAAGATCAATCCACATCCCAAACGAATCCTAAACATAACTTGGAATTCAAATCTTATCAATTTTTTCTCATTTTCTTTTTATTTCTCTTATTAAATTCTCAAACCAAACACAATTTAAAGAATTTTAATATAAGTGACTTGACCCTTTGGCTATCAAGTCTCGTTAAGAAAAGGTATTACAGTAAGATTTAATTAAGGGGTTGTTTGGGATGTCTTTAATAAGTGTACTTTTTGACTTTTTAGACTAAAAAGTTGAGGAAAAAAATATGATTGTTTGGGTTAACTTTTTGACTTTTTATGGAAAAATGTGTATTAAAAAATTGTATAAATTAGTGTATAGGGAAAAATTAGGATTGAGAGTTGTGCAACCGTACTTGTTGACTTTTGGTGAATAGTGATAACTTTTTAACTTTTTGAGTAATTTTTTGACTTTTTAATTTTTTTTCAACTTACCAAACTTGACCTAAGTATTTTTGTAAGAAAAGAGTAAGAGTTTAACTCCCTCATGTGCTTGCTACTCAATTTTTTTCCTTCCTATTTCGTTCATTTCTCAGTAAAAGATAGGGCGAATTATACTAACAATCTCTATAATTTAAATCTTGTGTCATTTTGATTCCTGACTTTTTAATTGTAACATATTTGCCTCTGAATTTTAAATCTTGTTTCAAATAAAGGCAATTGAAGATACCATTTGAGAGGGTAATTTTTGAAAAATTGGGCCGAGCTGCAAGTTGGGCTTTGAGGCCCAAGACGCGAAAGACTAAGTAAGAAGGCCGTAAAAGATACTCCGGCCCAGGAGAGCAGTGTTACTCCGGCCCAGGAGAAGCGTAGTTACTCCGGTTGGGAGAAGTAAAAGTTACTTCGGCTCAGG